TTTATTACTACTAATTCATATAACTTTTTTTTTGTATATACATAGTTGATCAGTTCTTGGCTGTTTTGACGGTTGTACAGCCACTTTCCAACCACACAACATGCTGCGTTGTAGACTTTGGGCTCTATGGTAACTTCTCATACGGATCTCTGTTTAAATTACCATAGAGCTCTATGCTAAGCGCACATACGGATTTTTTACAAGACACAATGGCTTTCGCGACTAGGGTTACACAAGAGGGTTCTCATTTGTTTTGATGTTGTATTGCACGACAATTCTTATTGGCTATTGATTGCTACGATTCTCTTTTCTTTAATACCATAGTTGGCGATCACGAAACAGCCGAGACCAGTCCTTCAAGGTGATATATATTGGTTTGGATAACATTCTTAAAGGCATACGTGAGGGGAGAAATATAATTGTTATTGCCATTGATTGCTACGATTCTCTTTTCTTTAATAGCCATAGTTGGCGATCACGAAACAGCCGAGACCAGTCCTTCAAGGTGATATATATTGGTTTGGATAACATTCTTAAAGGCATACGTGAGGGGAGAAATATAATTGTTATTGCCATTGATTGCTACGATTCTCTTTTCTTTAATAGCCATAGTTGGCGATCACGAAACAGCCGAGACCAGTCCTTCAAGGTGATATATATTGGTTTGGATAACATTCTTAAAGGCATACGTGAGGGGAGAAATATAATTGTTATTGCCATTGATTGCTACGATTCTCTTTTCTTTAATAGCCATAGTTGGCGATCACGAAACAGCCGAGACCAGTCCTTCAAGGTGATATATATTGGTTTGGATAACATTCTTAAAGGCATACGTGAGGGGAGAAATATAATTGTTATTGCCATTGATTGCTACGATTCTCTTTTCTTTAATAACCATAGTTGGCGATCACGAAACAGCCGAGACACATCCTTCAGGAATCAGAAAGAAAAGAAAAAAAAACTTGCAAAAGGAATCTCTGCCTTTAAAATTTTTTTCGCCTGCCAAGAAATAACACTGATTTCTAATAGGGCGAAATGGTTTCTAAAAAAAGACTTCCACTTGTGAAAGCGCGAATTTGATTTTGATTGGTTAGCGATTTCAATTTTAATTGGCCAGCGAATTCGATTCTAACGGCACCGACTTCGGTTGTTGGAAGCACTGTACAGTATTTTCAATAAGTAATGTCGCAGCCAATGAACATCAATGTCGCGCCCGATGAAAATCAATGTCGTTGTCCAATGGAAATCAATATCGCTAGCCAATGAAAATTTATGTCGCATGTCCAGAAACGGATGTCGCAGCCAATGAAATCAATGTCGCATAGGTCAGCAAGGAATTTCTTGGCACACTAAAAATCGTCTACCCATTGTTGCCATAGATCGTTTGCCATATCTCGCCATAGATCGTTAGCTATTGCTCTCATAGATCGTTCGCCATTTCTCGTCATAGATCGTTCGCCATTGCTGTAAGATATAGTAGTTTGCGTTTGAAAATGTAGACGTTGAGATAGCGATATGTAGTTTTTAGATTCTGCGATGTAGGTTTGCCAAACACATTGTAGTTTTGAAACAGTCGATGTCATTTTTTTGGACCTTGATGTGACTAATGGCAACAGAACGTAAAGTGGAGCATGTGCCTGGATGTTGGCATAAAGCTTCTTCCGCGACACAGAAAGAAAATAGCCACACAGAATTTGATACGGTCGGTAAGCCGAGGATGCTAAGAAGGGTTATATAAACATGTCAGATCTATTAGATGGGTAAGATCGACTCGCCTGGATTGAGTAACTGGAGTACTCGATGTATGCAACAACCCCATGTCGAGAAGGTGCTGAGTCCAAGGCGTCACTAGCATGCCAAAAAGGAGGGAATACCAAAAAGAGGAACCAAAGTAGCATGATATTCCCCAGATCAAAGCATCAGTAATTAAGGCAATCACGGGATCCAATATTGGATTTTTCCTAATGATTGGCGCTTAGTATTTGTCATGAACCATGAGCCATGGCATGGATCACGTGTTACTCCTGCCTCCTTTTCTCCAGCCTCCATCAGCCCGTTATCCACCAGCCCGTTATCCCTCGGCCCTCTCAAGCCTCTATATCTTATCCTCTTTGCTTAGTGTTAGAATATAAATAGTGGGATCATAGACTGCTATAGAGAAGTATCTTGTATCTTGTATCTTGTATCTTGTACCCTTTGTATCCTGGTAAAGCCAACCTTGCTCCCCGTCCATTGCCCTCGTCTCTTGTCCTGTTGAAAAAACAGATCAACTCTCCCTGCCTTGAACCCTGCCCCGCCCTGACAGTATTTTTCGTCTTAGTATGCAACAAATTTCCATTTAGCACTTGGTGAATATCAGCTTGGCCGAAGATGTATTTTCCGTAGCGTCTTCTGTAGAAGCTGAAACTAGTTTTATTGGTGAAAACATATTTGACATATACTTTCGGTTGCCACCCTAATTACAAGAACAATGAGTGTAGCCTTTTTTATTGATGCTGCAGGATGAGAATATTGGACTAAAAGTTGCTAAAATGTACAGTGTGGTGGTATAAAGGAGAATTGAGCGTGGAAGATTTTCCCGGCGAAAACAATTAATCACTATCATAGTCTTCCTCAGCGTCATCACCATCGTCATTTTCAATGATGTCATTATCAATCAATCTGCCATGAGCTTTTTTGGTAGGTGTCAAGTAAATGTTTGGTGATCCGGGAATACTGGCATCATCAGACCCGCAGATGTTGGCGAAATGTGCGGCTTGCTTTTGACTTCGGATGGCCGGGAGAACAATATCCTTGAGATTGCAGTGGTGTTGTCGCCAAGCATACAACCGGTCCAGCGTATCAATGAATGAAGGTAGCTCATCGAGATATATAGGTATTACAAGCGTTGAAAGACGGCGAGAGACATACACATCTTCGATGCGTTTCACCGCAAACATATACCCTATCGGGCCGGTGAAGTCCATACCAACGGTATATACATTATCCATGAGATTATCGTCAATGGGAAGACTCAGCAGATAGGAAAGGATGGCCTTATTCATTCATCCTAATGTTCTTGGCCTGCTGGATCAGCGACTTTCGCGGTGATACTTTGAGTCTCTTCCATTCGCTCATAGATAGTTCCTCATTCTGAGCGGAAAGAATCAGATCGATCCGGCGCCCAAATCCTTTGTTCAACGGAATGTTCGAACCAAAAACCCTTTTATGCATTTTTGCGATCGATTTGGAGGCTTTGCACGTCGTCTCCCCATCGAAGATTTGCAGCCTGCTACCGTTTAGCACCTCATCAAGTATTTTCGTACACTTCCTGTAGCAAGTGAGTTCACTACTGTCGTTGTCATTAGGGGAGGCGGCGGGGTCAGTCAGGCAAGCCTTGGCCACAATTTCAAGGATATCCAATAATTGCAAGCACTGGGTGTCGTCAGATTTCAGTAGAGCCACCTTTTCCTCGGCAATCGCGATCCACAAAAGCTTCGTATCAAGTTTCTTGTACATAGGCGCAGCTTTGGCTACTGACTCAAGGTACAATTGCTTCGCCTCTTTAGCTGATAACGACTGACATTCTACAGCGTTTTGGTACATCTGCTTCATGTCGGGTGGGATATCCGTGCCCAAGGCAATCATTTCACCATAAAGTGCCCTGACCGCAGGGGCCATGCCATGGCCGAGGTTAATTTCTTGTACTTTTGTAACTCGCTCCCAGAAGCTGCTATTGGTAATATGCTTGCGAAATATCTTTTCAGTTTGGCTATTGACGGTATCGACGATCCGTGACAAGGAAAGCTTCAATGCCTTGACTTGGTGAATTTCAGACAAGTTTATCTTTAGGGCAAGGTTGGCTGACATGACGTCCAGCTGCTCTCCAAGCGAATCAGATGCGGTGAAATTGTTCAGGAGCTTGCGCAGGTCGCTGGCATCCTGGAGAGACAGCTGCTTATTCAGCTAGAAAAGGTATGTTAATCCACAACTATCGATGAGCCAACTGCGCGCTTACCACTTTGACGCCAGCTTCGTACACGGCTTTTCTAAAATCTTTGGGCGTAATCGGCTCTGGAGTCTTTTGTGGCTCGTTCGAAGCCAGCGCGTTGTACATCATCTCCACTGTTCGGGCACGTTGTGCGGGTAACGGATGCGTATCCTGGTCGGATTGGTTTTCAGAACTTGCTGCTTTTTTGTATGAGATCATCAGCTCTAAGTATACACATACGTGCACAACGGGAAAACTTACCTCGTTTGCCAAGGACAGACCCTTCGGAGCGTGGTTCTGTGATGGTGGTGGTGGTGGTGGTGGTGTCACCGGGACCTTCCTTCCCAACCATATTAGCCCCGTAATTAGTAGAGTTGACGAATGCGAACGAATTATCTCCTTGGTGTAAGTGATATGTGTTCGACGAGACTGCTGGTGACGAAGTGCCATTGTCGTTCTAATACGAAAAAGATGAGGAAACGGTAACGTGGATCATTCTTATCTTGTTCATACCTCCTTTAACAACTTCTTTAGTTCTTGCTTGACGCTATCTGGTGTCGAGGAATCCTTCTGGATAGCGTCGAGACACCTCCGGTAGGAAGATTCTAGCATGTTGGACGAAGGAGGATTGCGCATTGTTTTTTTAAAATGATTTTTGAAGTGATAGAATCCCCAATCCTTAAGGCTATTTGCGGCAAAGAAGCGACGGTACTTGTCATTCCCGTTGTACGTATCGTAATACTCGCTAAGGTCCATGTGTAATGCAAGTGAAGGCAGGCGAAAGTGTCGCGAGCATATTTTGCTGACGTCGGACTCTTATTTCAAAAGCCTATGACGTCGCCTGTGGGAATTAAAACTGGGGCAGCATAAAAATATTTTGCCTTTTGCCCATCTCGAACTGACTCGATGTCGGGTATGAAGACGGGATGACAATAGGACTACGTACGGCTTTGGGACACCTTATGGTGATGGCGTATGTCTCTGGTCAGCTTGATCCTTTTGAGAGCTCGCTCAGTTTCCCAATTACTGAAGACAATAGCGCCCCATGTGTTTTCTTCTTCACAACAACCAAACCATGGGCCGTGGCTCCAGGGTCAATACTGTCGGGATGAGGTGCACTTGGAATCAAAAGAACTGACTCGATGTCGGGTATGAAGACGAGATGACAATAGGACTACGTATGGCTTTGGGACACCTTATGGTGATGGCGTATGTCTCTGGTCAGCTTGATCCTTTTGGGAGCTCGCTCGGTTTCCCAATTACCGAAGACAATAGCGCCCCATGTGTTTTCTTCTTTGCAACAACCAAACCATGGGCCGTGGCTCCAGGGTCAATACTGTCTTTTGCTCTTCCAAGTGCTACCGTCGAATCGGTAAGCTACTTATATTGACGGTTCTGGACGAGTTTTGTGTACTAACTTTCTATACATTGCCAAATACCTCTTTGTCGAGTCATATTTGCCTAGGGACCAATGTTGATAAACGTCATGTGGATGGATACCATAGTGCTAGCGCCCCTTTGACTAAACTCTCTGTGAACATTTAAATGGATCACCTGGCCGACCCCCATTCGTTTTTTTTTTGTACTCATGTTGCTTTATCCCATAAATGCATCTTTACTTTGTCTCTCAAGAGCTGTTCCTTTGACTGATAATACTTCTTAATGCACGTATTCTGAACTCGTATTTGTCAGAATAGACCACGTCAAATAAGCCGCAGGAGAACAGTACCAATGCGTTAATTGACCTTACCAAATTCTGTGCGGCTATTTTGTTGTCAATGATTACATCAGGCTTAAAGAAATGACATCGACCGTTTCCAAAGTACAATGTATTTGGCAAAATTACATCATACGATCTAAAAATTACATCTTGCTATCTCGATTTTCACATTTTCAAACGCAAACTACTGTAAACTGTTTTGCAATAGATCGTTTTGCTATAATTATGTAAGGTTTCAGGACTAGGACAAGACAGGACCAAGACCAGAGATTAATCAAAACAAGACAAGATGGGAACCGGGGAAACGGCAAGGTACTAGGTGCTTTCGCTAGATAAGATGAGACAAGACAAGAATCAGAGATCGGATTGAAAGATCACTGAAAGGGTGAGACGAAGATCGAGCAGAACAAGACAGGAAGAACGGGATAGTTCCGGATAGATAGTCGAATGACTGGATGTTACCAGATAAGACAAGATATAGCAAGACAATCGAATTGACTTCTATTTGATGAATGGGTGTTGGGTATTTATATGGATTCAATTATGAAGATGGATGCGCGTGAATTAATATGTGTGCAAACATCACGAGGTCATGAAGAGGCCATTACAGATATTGATATGCGCAGTCATCACAGTGTCACGAGTAAGTCGTTACACTTGCTTAGAGATCAATGTCGCATAGCCAAGCTAGGATTTTCTTGGCAGACCCATTTCCAGGTCATTGACCCTTTTTCTCCTGACCATATTCGACTTCTACCACTGCTACTTACCTATATTGCGCAACTGAAAAAAAAGAAAAGATTGATACTTACCTGAATGCATATTATTAGTTATTAATGAGGCTGTACAATATTACAAGTTTTCTTTGTTCCGACATTTATCCCAGCAGTTGTGAGAATGTGAAGCAAACCCTTGGAAGTCGCTTGACCTTACACTGTTGCATGCATCGCGGATCCTTGTCGATAAGGTGTCCTCTGACAGGAACCGGTTGCGCTTAACCTTGCTTTTCGCCACAGACCAGATTTGTTCTATTGGGTTAAGCTCAGGAGAATACTTAGGAAGATATACACATTTATATCCTCGATACTGAATATACTTTGCGATATCTTTGTTGACATGAATAGGTGCATTATCTATAACAATATAATGTCCCTTCATGTGAGGAAACTTGTCCATTTCATCCAAAGTATCCTTCAAAAAGCTGATGTAGTGACCGGTTACAGTGCCAGTGCTCACTTTCTCATATTGGTCATCAGCATTTCTCTTTTTACGAGGCTGTGGGATTCTCACGCTTACCTTAATTAAGCCTGAAGCAGAGATGGCACCTAAAATAGACGTTGTTTTCGCTCTTGTTGTAGGAACAGTAACAACAGCAGGAACACCCTTCTTTGACCAAGCTCTTGTGCGTTTCATGTTTATATGAAATGCAGACTCATCAAGAAATACGCAGCTTGTCAGGAAGTTCAAGTCAGTTTGTTCCCACTGACGGACCCAGTCATATCGCTCTTGAATTTTTTCCACACTGTTTCTTTCAACAGATTGAAAGTCTGCTTTTTTCAACGAAAGGTTGCAGTGAAACCTCATGAAGTTGTAAACAGTGCTGCGAGAAACTTGAAGGTCCTTATACTTCTTCGCTAAATATTCAGCTATTTCGATGACTGCAGCAGAAGGATTATCATCAATGAAGTCGGTGACAGTCTGCTTGTGTTCTGCAGTCAAAATGGGTCTACGACCAGACTTTTTACCCTTGTCGAAAATACTATCAGGTCGTTCATCATACTGCTTAACCCATCTCTGGGCAGTGCGAACATGAATACTAAGCTGTTTTGCTGCAGCTGATGCAGTCAAGCACTTGTCAATCTTCAGCTTAAAGAACCTGGTCTTATCTTGGCAAGTGTAGCATACATATTCTCGCTTTTCACCCACTTTCTTCATATGAGAATCTTCGCTGCTTGGTTTATCCACCTGCATTGCGATGCTTTGAGATCCCACAGAAGCCGTCTTCTCTAAGTACTCAGTGTAAGAGGTAATTGTTTCAACGACAAATTGTTCCTGGTCAACAATATAATCCATAGGTTCCGGATTGCCATGTTCATCAACAACATTTCCCTGTCCATCTTTGTACAAAAATTGTGCACTCATGTTGAATTGCGATGTAGTGAGGAAGAAAAAAAAGCTTGGGGAAAAAGGCAGCGCACCCCTATATATATTTTTGGTGTGCCAAGAAATTCCTTGCTGACCTATGCGACATTGATTTCTAAGCAAGCGACATCCGTTTCTGGACATGCGACATAAATTTTCATTGGCTAGTGACATTGATTTCCATTGGACAACGACATTGATTTTCATCGGGCGCGACATTGATTTTCATTGGCTGCGACATTACTTATTGAAAATACTGTATGTAAAAAATTATAAGTAATATAATTCTTAAGTATTTATAATAAAGAGTGAAATTAATTTTTTGTTTAAAAGAATAATTTCTCAACCCCCAGGTTAATTCTCAACCCCAGGTTTATTCTCAACCATTATGTTTTGGAAAAACCAGGCTAGACCTTTAGGTCGATGCCCGACAGAATCTTTGAATCTGGAGCTTGACTAGAATAATAAAATATCCTAAATTTACAGTTTACTGTAAAATTTATAGATATTGTTTATTCGCTAATCCTGGATCCTCGATACCAACGACGATAACTAGAATGATGTGTTTTCTCTGGGGGAGATGAAGGAGATCTGTAACACCGGCCGAACTCTGCTCCCTTCCATGGACGAATGTATTCAAGATCAGTTGGACGAATTCGCGAAATTGATACGACAAGCTGCTTGTTAATCGAGTGTCTTTTTAATGTGGTTAGTTCTATTCTCATTTCTTATAGAAGACCACTGAGGAAGCATACAAGTTTGCGTAACAAATTAAACATGATCCCAGTGATGATCTGCTCTTGGTACGGTTCACGATGACGTTGTTGGCGTCATCCTTGTTATTCATTAAAAATGTCGATGTGGATGGCTTCATAGAGACAGATAAACAGTATAGAATGTTTGGATTCGTGATTAATATTTACATTGGATCTGACATAGTAGTATCTGGGTAAGTAGCGTTAACTGCATCTAACTCTAGAGGACACATGACTTATTGACTATGTTATATATGAATATAGAAAAGAGAAAAGCAGTAAGGCGAACGCCATTGCCAAGAACAAGAAGTGCAAACTATCAGCTATAAATGAAGTCCAGAGAAGAGCCGCCGGTCGTAAGAGGGATGCCGTTTATGTTGGAGGGAGGAGGGGACTCGGTTGCATGGAGACAGGTAGCACTGTAGACCAGACAAAAGAGTTAATGGATGGCTACATGAAAATGCCCATTGTAATGAAGGATATGCTGCTGCAAATTGTTGAAGAAGCACCATCACTATTACACGAAATTGATATCACAGGCTACGTTATCAGTGGTACGTAGAAACAAATAATTAATTTCTTGACATATAGCAGCATTCACTTACCATCTATAAACTGCTCAATAGGCGACCAAATCAGCTTGTTGGGAATGGACGTTCCAAAAGGGTACATTGCGCAGATCCGACGAACAAATGCAATATCATTTCCAAGCAGCAACGACGATTTTGTGGTACGGATGATTAAAATAGTTAGATGATTCATTTAATTTAGGATGTACAACATATAATGATTTATGAATAATTTTAGCTAATAACATTAATTCTTTACTTGTAATTAAAGTTAATTTATTCTCATCTTTAAGTTTATAAAACATTTTCCCATCAGTTTTTTTATATATAGAAAAATGATCTTGAATTAATTGATCATAAATTTCTTTAATCTTAACTCTATATGAAATAGTTATTAAACTTCTTTTTACAATCTTTCTATTTAATACTAAACCCTTTAATCTGGCATACTCTAGATCACATTCCTCTATTTTCTTAATTTCTTCATTAATAGCATTTAACATTAAACTATAAAGATTATTAGGATCATCTTTCATATCAGATTCAACTAAATTACTTTACTAGCTAGATCAAAATCAGAAATCATTGCAGCTAAATGTTGCACACCATTATATGTTGCATCTAAATAAATTGGTAATCTAGAAATAAAGCTTAATGGATCTTTATTATAACCTTGTAACTCAAAACAAAAAGCTAAAAATAACATAGATTCATCAGCTTTTCTCCATAATCCTGAATTTAAATCTAAGATTTCTGAAAAATGTTGATCAACCTATTCTAATCTTTTGGTAATAGATGATTTACTTAATCCAAAAGCATTTGCTCCATAAACCTTTAATGAACTTAATTCATTTTCAGATAATACATTACCTTTTTAAAAAAACAATAATGATCTTGCTAATTCACCACCTTGGAAATTTAATTCACCCCCTTGGCAATAAACTCTTCCTCTCCAGTCTAAAAAGAAAGTAAAATAAAATTATTCAACATCTCTATAAAGTTTAGCAATAGTTAAAAGTGAATTAATATATAAGAATTTACTATTATGAGTTGTAATTTCAAATTCTTTTCCTTTATTATTCTTTTTAATAATCTCACTCATTTCATCTGTCTCCTTATGTAATGTTTTAATAATTAAATCATTATTAAGTAGCAGATTCATTAGAAAATCTAATACTTTAAGATCAATATTGAAATCAATAGATGACATATAATCAACTATTTTTATTGACATTTTATTTATAAATTTAATATTTGATTCAGTAAATCTTTTACTTCTAATTAAAGGATTAAAATTCTTAATATTATTAGTAATATATCCACCATATATCTTAAATTTTTTGTTATCATTTAGTTCCCAATAAATAGGTGGATATACTATAGGTAATTCATGACCATCAATCATACCTAAATATTTAATATAGTTTTTCAATTAGTAACTAGGAATAATTTCTCTATGAGTTTATTTACTTTTAACATCATATCGCTCTAAGATATTAAAAAGATCACTTTTCATATCCAAATAACTAATAACAGTACCATCAATATTAATAAAATTCTCTTCATTCATTGTATAATTCTTCAAATATAAATTAAAAGTTACAATATCCTTAGATTTATCATCAACTTCTTTAATATATTTTTGATATAAACATTCTTTATATAAAGTTTTTCCTAATCTATGAAATAAAGTAGTAACTGATTGTTCTTTATTATCTTCATATTTCATAATAAAGGGGATTAACAAACTTAAAATCAAGAACAGCATCAAGGATTTATCTATTTCTTTCATTTTCAAAATACATTTTTAAGTCATCTTCTAACAACTTATAGTTATTTAAAAATATTCTAAACCCAGGATTTGTATTTAAGAAATCCTTAGACTTACTCATTTTTTCTAGTTTTTTCAACCATGAAGGCAGAATAATCTATATTTATAAAATAATCAAAATATATGAAATAATAGATATACTGTTATTTATGTTTTATATAATTAATAACTTATATTTAAATTTGATATATAATATTTTTTTCTTTAAAATAATCTTTAATAATCTGTTTCTCATAAAAATCATTTTCTTTAACCCATGAATTATTATCATTATTATAGCCTTTCCATTTAACAAAAAAGGAGTATTTATTATTTTCTATTTTATGCTTAATTATATTTTCTATTTCCTATACATTATCATCTTTATTTACATTTCTCATATGTTCTATTTTTTTATTTGATTTATTTGACCTTTTTTTTCTTTTTTTAGTAACTTTCTTTAATTCCGAATAATCTAAATCACTTTCTTCAGTTATATTATTTTCACTATTATTAGAATCTATATTTTCATCAACAATCATATCTTCATTTATATTTAATTTTAAAAAATCGTTTTGTATTTCTGTTAATATTTTAAATTTATTAATCTGTTTCATTTCATTATTATAAACAATATCAATTATTCTATTTTCTTGTGGAAAATCAAAATTATCCATTTTCCATAATTTATGATGTTCCTGTGTTATAATATTAAATGTATTTGAAAATTTTTCTATATTTTTTAATAAAAATGCTACTTTAATCTGTAAATTTATATATTTAATATCATCTGTTTTTAATGTTGAGTTATTGTTACTAAATCTTTTAAACTTATTAAATAATTCTTGAAACTGATTCTCTATTTTACTTCTAAAACTTCCAAAAACTTTATTATAATATATTTCTTGTTCATTTAATTTTTCATTTATTTCTTTTCTAATGGGATAAAAAAAGTTATTATCATCTAAATCATACCCTTTATTATCACATAAATTTTCAAATTGTTCTATAAATAATGTATAACCTCCATCAATAGCTACACAGTCTTGTTTAAAATTTTATTATAAAGTTTCATATTAAGGAACATCATACCATCATTAACTTTTCCACATAAATCACTATAAGATACAAATATTACCATATCATTTATATCTGAAACCACTTGTGTTCGAATACCAGAAGATTTTAATTTATATGACCACCGTTTTTGTACTGATATATTTGGTTTATCATAAGAAATAGAACTATCATGTCCATCTAATAATAGTGTAATATTTTTAAAATTTTTAGGGTTTTTAATTAATGCTGATAAAATTCTTATTTTCATATTTGAGAACATATTTAATAAATAATAATTAACTTTTTTATTCAAAGAATCATAATTTGTAATCCAAAATTTTTTATAAAATGCATAAAAACTAGTATATGGTATATATTTTTTCATATTTTTGCTTGTATATCCAGATGTTAAATGGAATAATAATATTAAACCCTTTTCAATTTCTACATATGGTGATGGGTATTCAATATTTGAATATAAATTATTTAAGAAAAAAAACACACTTGTGTAACCTAATTTTTGTGATAATTCTTCTTTTACTTCATTTATAAATTTTATATTTTTTATTTCAGTTCGATGTTTATATTTATAATTTATAATTTTCCAGTTTTCATTTAAAAAAGACCATTGGTTTAAAACTAATTTGTTAACTTCATCTTTTAATTCATTTTTCAAATTTATTATATTTTCATCATTTTTATTAATATATTCACTCATAATTTCTATATCGCTTTCCATATTTGTATCTATTCTTTTATATTACTACAAAATTCAATTTTCAAAATAAAAAAAAGAAAATATTTATAACAATATATATTTAATAATATTATATTATAAAATAAAATAATACTATAGTAACTTTAATTAATTATAATAACTATTTATTCTTCAAGAATGTAATTTTTCTTCTAAATTTAATTTTTTTTCTTTAAGAGATAAAGTATCATTTGATAAAATTTCTTTAATAGTAATATAACTACCAGAATTTTCATTTGTAAGAGAAAAATCTTTTAAATCATTAAAAGTTGAATTTAAAATATTATTTTCTGAAGGGTTTTTATTTATATATACCACTGAAGGTAATAAAGCTAAAAGTAAATTATCCGGAGTATTAATCCAGATATTACTAGTAGTTAAACCATCAGGTGTTTTAATCCTAATGTAACTTGAAATAAGCTCTGTAAAAGAGTATAAATCGTAGGTATCCGAAGGGAAAATAGGGCAATCGCTAAGAATATAGAATAAGTTTGTAAACATCATATTTTTAAAAGTAAGTAAGTAATTAGATAGCATCTAATTTTTAAGTAATGATTTATTTAGTTTCAAGATTAATTATCTCTACTTACAGTACCACCACAAGAAGGCATAAATCAATGTACCGGGGGAGAATTTTATAAAATAATAATAGCAAATATTGATATCATGGGAGATTATTTATTATTATTATAGAATAATAATAATAATCTTTTATATGAATCATCAAACCAGAATGATTCATTTAAGTAATAGCAAATAACTAAAATTCCAATATGACATAATAACATAGTTATTAATAATACAAAATTATTTCAATCTCTTAATGAAATAATAAGGCAAACTAATTTATGTAATAAAGGTCTATTCTTAATAAATTCTCGTTCTTCAATTTTAATTAGTTTACTTAACATACCTATAATTAAAAAGAAACAACCAAGAATTCCAATAAATATACATAGATCAAATACATAAAATTAAAATACGAGTAGGATTTCCATCACTACCTCTAAAATATTCATTTAATAAATTAAATATATCTTATGGATTTTCAATGAATTTTGAAATTAATTCTACAAAATTATTACTATTTTCATTTAGAGAATTAATTTTGAAGTTTCCATCTGGTAGAGGACTACCAGATCTTTCATTAGAGTGATCATACATTCTTTCACACATTTCTCTTATTTGTTTTCTTTCTTCATAGTTATGATTCATCATTTCACCTAATCTATAAGTAGTAAAACCACTAATAGTACCAACAACACCTAAAAACAATCCATTTCTAGGATTTGTTTTTGCAATTTTAACTGCAGCAGTTATTGTTGTTCCAGAAAGAATTCCTGCAGCAACTCCAGGAGAAGTAATTGGTTTATCATTATTAGAATTACTATTTGATGGATGATTATTTGACCCTGCACCTCCATCTCCAAAATTAACATTAAAAGTATTTTTTGATGAAGGATTTATATTACAGTGAACCCCCGCTTTTTGCACCCCCGTTTATTGCAGATTCCCACTTATTGCAACTTTTTTGAGTAGATTCCCGCTCAACACTTAGTAAAATTGTAGATTCCTCGGTTTTTGCAGATTGCAACTTGGAAATCGGGACCTGCAATTTCCCGCTTCAGCCTTATATATTATATATTAATCTCAAACTTCAGAGACAGTGAGACTCGAACCAGTGACAAAAGAGATACACTATTGTATTCTAGTATTTAAGAGCTTTTAAACTAAATAAGGAAAGATGTGATTGCCAGCTTATTGATCCCACTTGTGTAACATATTCACATTTTGCAGTTCCTCAGATTTTGCAACTTTTTTGACGGTATTCCCGCTGTTGCAAAAAGCTGGGGTTCACTGTAGATGAATTAGGGGCAGAACTTATATAAATTAATAAACCTAGTAATGCTAAACCTAAAGAGCCTGTAAAAATGTTAGAAAGATTATCATTTAAGAAGTGAATAAATTCTACAAAATAAAGATGAATAGAATCAACTAGAATATTAGGAATTAAAAATACCGATGCAAATCTAAAATGATTTTTATCTGTAGAATAGTAATACTTATGTTTAATAAACTTAATAATGGATAGAATATTATT